AGACTCGTAGAATTCGTTTAAAGTCCCTCGACTTGCACAAGCAATCGATATAAATCGCGTGCGAGAAATCTCAAAGTAATCGGGATCGTCGAGTTCGTTAAGGGTGACAAGCTCGATAGGAGTTCTCGAACGACGCAGAAAGCGAACGAACGAGTCGCTGTATATATCGGCCGTGGAAACGTTCGAAGAAGCGCCATTCGATACCGTTATCTTCCTATCAACGTAAATAACTCCTACAGCAAGAACGTACGTAATTAACCGGGAAAGCAAAGACAGAAAGAAAGAGAGAGAGAGAAATAGAGAATTCAAAATCCATAGAAAACGTCGAACGCCGTTGAAATACTCGGGTATCTTTCGATATAAATCGATATTCTTTTTCTTTTTTTTAGTCCATCGAGAAAATTATTAAAACACAAAAAAGAAAATGATTTACGTAAAACTTCAGATAAAAATGATTTTAATCAAGCGTTGCGCCAAAACGATTCTCATTGAATTTCGTAATAAAAAATAATTTTCACGAAAAAGAATACGCCTATTAATGAATAATTTACGATCCTCATTTCGAGAATATCATTAATAATACTGTGACATTTCGAAAGCTTTCGAAATTTTAATTTTGAAATAAAATAAAAGGGTATAAATAATAAAAATAAAGGTGGTTATAAAAAAAAAAAAAAAAAAAAAAAAAAACAAATAAAAAGTTAGTAATAAAAAAAAATGAAGAAAAAGAAATAACACACGCGTACACATACATACACACACACACCCAAAATAAAAATCCGTATGAAAGAAGAACACACCGAGGAATGAAGAACAAGAAGGAGGAAGAGTATAGAGCGCCCAGAGGTTTAAGATTGGTTAATTTACGATGGTGCTCGGTCAACAAGGCGCCAGGGCATTTAGCGTTTAACGCGTGCAAGCGGCAAATGAGTAGAGTGAATAAAGAGAGAAGTATATGTATGTATATAAGTAAGTAAGTAAGTAAGTAAGTAAGTAAGTAAGTAAGTAAGTACGTACGTACGTACGTACGTACGTACGTACGTAAGAAAAAGGAATAGTAAGGAAGAGAAGAGAAAAAGAAAGATGAGCTGGATATAGAAGTAGAGGGAGAATGAGACGCCACTCAACGGCATTATTCGAATTGATGCGGTGAATTGGCGCTGACGACATCGGATAGGCCAATCCGACGGTTTGTTTATTGGTCGCGCGTTGGCGGATTCCTTGCGGTCTCCTTTAATTGAACTACTCGTCGATCGCGAACGAAACAAATACATCGACTCGCCTCGACGCCTAAATTGAACATGGCACCATCATCGTCATCATCATTGTCATCGTCATCATCATTATCATTATCGTCATTCTCTGTCTCTGTCTCTCTCTCTATCTATCTATCTATCTATCTATCTTTTTCTCTCTTTATCTTTTTGCTCTTTCACCCTCCCCCCCCCACCGCCGCTGCCGCCCCTCCCTCGTCACCCTTCTTCGATCTTAACGGTGATTTCATTGCTCGTACGCTATGATGTCTGCGGCCATAAAAATGGCGTCTTTCTTCTCCTCTTCATAATTGAAGAGAACAGAACGACAATGACGACGATGGTTAGTAAACTCTATAAAGAATTCCCGATTGACTTTATTACCAATATTTCTACGATTGTCTCATCCTATTACACGTTCTCCTTCGTATTATTCAGATTTGTCAAGGTCATTTTTGCGCTTTTTCAAACGTACCAATGAAGCATGAGATATGCGTTGAAATTCCATCGAGATTTTTATGTTCATTGTATTATTACATTAACGAGTATATATATATATATATATATATATATATATATATATATATATATATATATATATATTTAAACTCGTAAGAATGTAAATGGCGCGCAAATACGATAGGATAAAGAGAAAAAGACATACGAACGAAAAGATAACTGAATGAAAATGATTAATTAGATAAAGCTTCGATATATTGTATTTACATTATTATCAGTTAATTAATAATAATAACGCGAGATCGTAGTATTTAATGTAGAAAATAACAAATAAGAGAAGTTGCAGTGAGAAGAGAAAGAAGAAGAAAAGGAGGAAGAAGAGGGGGAAGAAAAATAAAAAAAAGGGAAAAAGAAAAAGGAAGAAAAGATGAAGATTCTGGTTTCCGCACACGAAGGATGCATAGAACGCTTCGTTTCGAAATGCAAATCGCATTATTTCCATACGTACGCGTAATGGCCCATTACGCGCACGTGGCCGCCACAAAGGAATCCGCCTATAGCTTCTGTGTACGCGGTCGGTCCTACCGCACACATACACATACATACACAGACATAAATATATATATATATATATATATATATGCACGCACACATACATACAAAAGAATATATGTATATGTGAGTGGTAGAGGAGACTAGAGGCATTACGGGGCGGTAACGCGAAATGACGTTTTGTTCCATCGGGACCGCAAAAAGCTCTCCACCCTCGGTCCTATCTCTTAGTATGTGTATATATCTGTATGCGCATGTCTCTCTCTCTCTATATATATATATATATCTATACGTGTATATGTCGTACGATGACTAAACTACCCAGTAAGGCCGATTTACACATATTGGCCGCTCCCCTGATTTTCCACGCGTATTGTACCATCGTGGTCTTCCTCGATAAAACGATTTCTCGTCTCTTCTTGTGTTCTTCGACAGTAGATATCTCTCTCTCTTTCTCTCTCTCTCTCTCTCTCTCTCACACACACACACACACATACACACACACTCACTCTCTCTCATTTCACGGAAACACTCTTGGAGTTGCGATAATGAAATGGGAAGAGACGAAACGCGCTTTTAGCCTCAACGAATTCGTAATGTTACCCAAAAAAAAAAAAAAAAAAAAAAAGAAAAAAAAAGGGGGAGCTCTTAGAACGTTCCTCTATTACTTTTCTTTCTTTTTTTTATTTTTTGTTTTTTCTTTTTTTCTTTTATCAAAATTTACCGATCATATTTCATCTAACTCAATCAACTGATACAACTTTATGTATTTCACGCGAGGCGTAATCAATGATGATCATTTTCAATTGCGACCTTCTTGAAAGTCAAATCTATTGTCATTGAAATTATAAAGATAGGATAAATATCTATTCGTTGTGAGACACTTAAGAAATGTAACTTAATATTTCTTATCGGATTTAATTTAATTCAAAATTTTTTTACTTACGCAAAAATATACATTCGTACATAGTATTTTTTCTTACGTATGTATATATATATATATATATATATATATATATATATATGTATGTATGTATGTATGTATACGTGCGTGCGTGCGTGCGTGCGTGCGTGTGTGTGTGTGTATGTGTGTGTATGTGTGTGTGTATGTGTGTGTATGTGTGTGTATGTGTGTGTATGTGTGTGTATGTGTATGTCTACAGTATCATATCTTAAAGTATACAAATTTAACAAGTTCTTCAATTAATACTTCATAACGAATAAAATAATGTTAATCCATAATAAGATGAGGTCGTTAACCCCATCATGTTAAAACGACGATAACAAATTCATAACAAATAATTCGATATTTCAGACTTACTATAATACATAATTCGATACATTTAAATACATCAAAACGAGAATACGCGCTAACGAGCTTGTAGAGCTTTATCTAGAGCTGGCTATATACGATCAGAAAACTACCGGTAACGCAGCAAGGGAGAAGAAGTAAATCGAGAAAGAGAGAAAGAGAGAGAGAGAGAGAGAGAGAGAGAGACAGTAGAAGAATCATGAAACGAAACGAACGTTTTTACTTTTCTTCTATGATGAGCGGTTTCTCTTTTTTGAAAAACCAGCTCTCACGTACGATGAAGAGAGAGAGAGAGAAAGAGAGAGGGAGGAAGGGAGAGAGAGAGAGAGAGAAAGAGAGGAAGGGAGAGAGAGAAAGAGATCAGGATAGACATAGAAAGGACGAGGACGTGTAGGTATAAGAGCGAAACGTTATGCTGCTGAAAGAGAAGATGAATTTTCAGCGCAGCAAAACAATAGTGCGGATTATCGCGCTCGCGCGTTTCCCGAGGAGCGCCACGTTGAAACAAGAGGACACCCCACGTGATTAGTCTGACATTTGCACGGGCAGCGTGAGAGACTTTTCTCTCTCTCTCTCTCTCTCTTTCTCTCTCTCTCTCTCTCTTTCTCTCTCTCTCTCTCTCTCTTTCTCCTACTTGCTCGCTCTTTCCTCTCCTCTTCGCTAGTTGGCTCGCATTCCAACATCCGAGTCTCATTTGACTGCGTGTCTGGTGGCCCGAGGGCAGCTTTCGCGGCAACCCCATGAGGCCCTTGAAATACTACCCCCGTACTATGCCGGAGATTCTCTTTCTCCCTCTCTCTCTCTCTCTCTCTCTCTTTCTCTCGCTTCTATCTTGTAGCCGTCCGTCCTCGTTTCCTTTATCGAATCATAGCTTAGTTTCTATATCTACATTCTCAATGAGAACCAACCCAGACGTATAATTTAGAAAAAATTATATAATTATAATAAGTATTTTTAGTAAGATTATATATAATATATACTTTATTATTAATGTATATAATTATATACCTATACACACACACACACATATATATATATACACACATATACATATTATATATACATACTTATATATAGATATCTACTTACATATATTTATATACTGAAATATAGTATATATATATATGTTTAATCATTCTAATTATTATCTTAGTATTGACCAATAATTATTTTTCAAGTATTGTCAATTATTATAATATATACCTTTATCTTTTATATATAATACATACCTTTGTCTTTTTATTTTTCGGAAAAATTTTCAATAGGATCAATTTGTTCGATTGAATCATTTTGACATTAAGCCAAAATTTCTCGACTACTCAAAAAAAAAAAAAAAAAAAAGAAAAAAAAAAAAAAAAAAAATAAGTTTTATAAAATCGCTCGTTAACTTGATCATTTCCTTTTCTTTCTGTTGTTCTCTACAG